TCTCTCACTCGTTTGTAACCCCTACTACAAACTTTCAGTGCTAGTAACACGAGCAGCAGCGACGAACTGACGTAGGGACTTTCTGCTTGAACCAGTATAAACCTCGTATCCTCTAAGCATACCATCCGAGTCAGACGCACAATATTAGAAATTTACTCGTCGGTGGTAACTCGAAACACCGGCACTAAGAGAGAGAGAGAGAGAGTAGACTGTGAATGAAACCCTAACTTCTGTATATATACAGTGAGTGGGATACTGAGCCGAGATGGGCTGCCTGCTGGGCCACTATTTTTGGACGTGGGCCTTTTAGTGTGCCCGCCTCCGTTAATAGATTAATAGAGGCGTGCAACATAAGGCGTCCGCCTCGGTTAATATTGATTAACCAAGGCAGTTGTTTTAAGGCGACCGCCTCGGTTAATATATTAACGAAAACAACCACCTCGGTTAATCGATATTAACTGAGGCGGTTATATTACAGTGCCCGTCTTGGTTAATCATGTTAGTTGCTGGCCCAGCTGCCCTGCCTCGAATAACCGAGGTGGGCAACCAGGCCGCCCGCCTTCGAGGCTATTTTGGAAACGCCTCGTAAAAGATTTTGTGTAGTAGTGTTAGGAAGCACGTCTATGGTTGGAAGTAGATCGGAGAATATCATATTTTGAAAGTAAAAATAGATAAAATAAAAATTATGGTTCACTTGCAAACATATTTAATTTGATGCATTGCTAATAATCTTAGTGTATTATATATCATGGTACTTTGTAATCTTGTATCTCATTTTTTTCTAGAAGCATTGATAGTAGTCATGGCCCATAATAGCAAAAAAAAGTCCAACCCATGCTATCCATTGGGTTGGGGGGAGACATATTTTTTAGGTGAATAGACTCACTCATAGTCTCTAAAATTGGCCTCGAGGCCACAGGGCCGGGTCCAAGGATAGAGTCGGGTAGGCCTATTCCCATCCCTACTGCAAACATACATGCCACCCCCTAAACAAAACATACATGCCTAAATAGCCTGTTGTAGCACTTTTATATATAGCTTCACTATCGGTTTTTGGGGGACGTGTCGCTATGATATTGACAATTGTTTTTCTGCTATTATAGCTAAGAATGTTTTAGCTCTGCCAAATACCCCTATTTGACTTAGTAACACATTTTCTTTTAGCGTTGCTAACCGTTTGTGCTAGTGACACATATATGTTTGTAATGGAAACGAAAATTTTCCATTAACGCTCGTTTACCAACAACCAAGGTTTACGTCTGCTAGGATGTTGTCATAGGAGGTACGGTTGGGCGAGCGAGCAGGGGAGGGTGTCCAACCACCTGGACTTGCTAGTGCTGACTAATGAGGCGACCTCCTCATAGTTTCTGCTCCCACAAACGAGCGAGCGAGCCAATGAAGTCCCACTATCATCGGGGTGCTCGACCTCTAGTCGGAGCTCGACAAAGCTTGATAAAGGCCGATGCACATAGCTGAGAAAAAAATGTATCTTACAATCCATACAAATACTTGATTTATATCCAAAATACAACACTGCAATTTTGTATCTTACAAAACCATATCTAAAATACTAATGTCGGTCCAACCCATATAATTTTGTATCTCGCGACACATGGGTACTTTTCGCCGTGCTCTCACAAGTCATCCTACCAGGGCTAAGGTGATGTCATTAGGGGCATATGCTCCTATGTGTATTCATCATTGGATGATATTAGTATTTACAGGTATGCCGAACAGAATGCGAGAGGAGCTTGATGAGGAACATGGATCATAGATAGTACTCCCTCCGTTCCAGTATATCTGGCGTGCACTGTTTTTTTTCATTTAGGCCATAATAGGAGGTGGGATTAAGAATCGAGGGGCCCATTAATTACTCTGCTGCTCCACTACTAAAAACGAAGTGTTGCATGCATGCATGCATGGCTAGCAACGGAGAGGACCAGAGAAACAATTGTAGTTGAGAAGATTACGGAGAGATTAATTGATGGTAGCGACCGGGTGATTAATCATGGTGAGCGCATCAATGGACCGGCCTTGGTATCTGAAATGAGGCCCCTCACGCCAGATATACCGGAACGGAGGGAGTAGTATAAATAGAGCAAATGACTCTTACTTGATGAGAGGTGAAGATACTTACAATTTACAACGTTGATTGATGTATGAGGCATGCAATGCAACTACTCCCTCCGTCCCCAAATATATGAATTCCTAGAATCCGTGCTAGTCGAACTTTTTTTAATTTTAACTAACTTTGTAGAAAAGAGTAATAACATATATGATGTAAAGTGGGTGCATTATGAAAACATATTCTATATTATATTTAATGATATCAATTTGATACCATAAATCTTGATGTTTTTCTTCTATAAATTCGGTCAAAGTTTTAAAAAGTTTGACTTAAGACAACTCTAAAAATCTATTTATTCAGGGACAGACGGAATACATTTTATTCTACTAGTTAGTTTCCTATTAAAAACTATTGAGTTGCTTATTGTTGAATGCTCATGAATATGAACATTAATTATAGACATGAATATGTTAATCGGTTGAGTGACTGAAATAATGGACATGTAGGCATGTTCCCCTGGAGCCGTGAACATATATTTAGTATTTGTGTTCATGATTTAATTTTTTTAGTTCCATGATCTTTTACATAATTTGTTGACAATTTTCATGTTCTAAAACTGCTAAACCAAATAGCTTCCAGACTTCCCCTATATTTTGATATAGCTTTTACGCTAGACTGCAACTAAATAGGTTAGCGGAATAGGTTATCCCACTATTTAAAAGCTAAAACCTTGGTCTCCTATCATCGATCTGCGCTTGTCTAACCAGCTGCTATCTTCAAAACCAAATAGAAAATAAGAAATAGTGCCATTAATCTAACACAAGAGGGATTATTTTTTAGGGCCTATTTGCTAGAGCTCCATCTGATTTTGATTCTCTATGAAAGCTAATTCTTTGGGACAAGTGATTCTGTGGTTGAAAGTAATTTTCTTTATTTTTTAGCATAAAAACCCTCAAAATCACAATGGAGAATCACTTCATAGAATCAAGAGAAGCTGCTTTTTCCACTCCAGCCTCTTAGTTCATTTCAGAGAATCATATTACAGAATCAGCAAAGAATCACTTCTCTATGAAAAACTATTTTGCAGAGCTCCTGCTAGATTCAGCAGAGAATCAGCTTTGAGAGCTATGCCAAACAAGGCTTTATCCTACATTGTCCTCAAACCAAACACACACCGCCACAGATCATCCCAGACGAGACACGTGGGCTACACAAGCATAGCTGGACGGCCCAGAGAATATATGTTGGTTGGAAGACAGGAAGAGGATGGAAGAATCTGAGACGAGACGTGTATTGCATTGCTTGCTTGCTTAGTTATCCAGCTTTGACCGATCGAGCATACAAGCAGGCGCGTGTATGGATGGATGGATGGATTGATGGATATGTAGCGTCTACTTCAAGTCATATCCGTCATCTGTTTCATGCAACAATTCATTTTGTTTTTATTTATACGCCAGCCGGTGGTCGTTTGGAGAGTGCATGATTGAGTAGTGGTGCTAGAGCAGGGCCAGCTAGCAGGGCTCGATTAACTTGCACTATATATGGGGCCCCAGATAATTAACCAGATGCATGATTTCTGAATATAATGTCTCTGTCCATCTCTTTAGTTTGTTGTAAAATATTTTCTTCATATATATAACCGCCTGAAATTGCTGAACGTGTATAAATTGCATGTACTGTAATAGGTTAATGGTAGACCACAAAAAAATGCATGCCTTTTTATGCCCGTCCGCTCCTCATGTGTCTATAACAGGATTGTCACTAACATAGCAGCTTACAGAATCAAAAGTTAAACCAAAAGATGCAAGTCTCTAGATGTATGCTTAGTCAAACTGTGTGAAGTTTGAGCAAATATATAAAAAAAACAATATAAACCTTTATTATACGAGCTATCTAGGAGAAAGAGATGGATATAAAAAAAATCCAAAGCGGTCGGACAGCAAGGATGGGAGCAAATCAATCCATGAATTAGCTTTCGACCATATCTAAAGTGGCTTTCACCTAAAGTACAATCGACCACTGCACCCGATAAAGAGGCGCCAAATGCATGGTTGATTGCATCTCCATCTATCTATAGATGTGTTCTTCTCTCTCGTCGATCCATCGATTACATATATCTGTCCAGCATCGATCAATTGCCTTCATTCTGACTTGACAAGAAAGTAAAATCATTGCGCACTTCGGCAAACCAACTTCTACTTAACACACCATATATAAAACAAATTAAGTCTATCATGAATATATATCAGTCAAACCACACTTAACATTACTACTGTGTCTATTATTGTGTCCTTTTTGTTAATTACATACTAACATCCCGTTCCATTTTGCTACAAAAACAAATCACCCTACAACTTTTAAAACAAAATCACCCATCCGTTTCATTTTTTTTGAAAAAAGTCCGTTCCAAAATTTAGGCCATTTTAATTTGAATTTGTCCTAAGTGAAAATATTTCTCTAATTTGATGTTGGGATTGTAGATGCATTTTTTTATAAATATGGACAAAATTAGAGAAATTTTATATACATTTTGATGGAGGAAGTAATTAAGTTATGTATATATATCGTGCATCACGCGTGAACACAATATGTCCACTGAGAGTAATAAATCTAAATAAAGAACATCGATAGGGATATATTTGGAAATAAGCTAAGATTATCTTCACTGGTAATGGCACTGGTCGTAGCAATCAACTGTACTTCACTTATTGTAGCTGAAAGTTAGCTAGCATATAAGAGGTCGAATTAAGAAATACCACCACCCTCTCCACAAACCACTCCTTTTAGCCCCAAAATGTGTGTCACACAACGTGCCTTTCCGCCATCACTTTACAATTTGATAAAGCAAAAGTAGGGCGATGAGGAGAGAAAAATCAAAGACTAAAAAAAAGAAACATTCATGCAGTACTAGCTAGCTTAGTAAAATAAAGAGATGGAGAAAAACGGCAAGGGGTGGAAAGTTCACTCAGAAATGAATAAAGGAGTGATGCGAAAGGAACCTGCAGGTCAGGGAATACAAAACAAAACAAAAGCTCAGATTCCTCTCCAAACAGGTCCTATCCCTTTTCCTTCTCCCTTGCTGTTGTTTTCTCCCTCTAGAGAGACCCCATCTCTAGAAAGAGAAAGCAGGAGAGGAGGAGGACAAGCAAAGCTACCGGCCAGACAGCAGCTATAGCCCTAAAGATTGACCTGACCTGATGAGATGAGATTGTATAATAAGTAAGGGAATTTATTTGAAAGATGGTGTGGCTGCTGCAGGATCCTAGCTAGCTAGTGTAGTATTTCTATTGTGATGTGCTCTCAAGCCAAGCATGATATGGGTGGAGAATTCAGGAGCTCTTTGCTGCAGCAGATGGTGTGGAGTAGTAGTGGCGGTACAGACAGCAAGAATATGATGAGTAGTTTGATGCCTTGTGCCGAGGAGGAGGAGGAGCAAGAAGAGGGCTCCAACAAGATGCCCCCCTTATCTTCTCCTTCTTCCATGCTCCTCCCCCAGCATCTCCTTCAAATCTCCTCTGGCCTGCCTCTGCCTCTGCCTCCTGAGGTGCCGAACGACAGCTCTGCTACTTCTGATCTGCATGATGGGCGGGAAAGCAACATGCCCGAGTCATGGAGCCAGCTGCTGATGTAAATACAACATCCCTCTCTATCTATCCCTAGCTACCGTGCTCTCAGTTCTGTTTAATTTGGTTCTGCCATGGTAGAATGCTATCTGTATTTATGCATGGGAGTCTTTGATGAATTCATGCAATTCGATCTCTTCTTTTTATACAAAATCACTGCTAATTATGTCTGCAACCACAAAATTATTGATCAGCGGGGGATTAGTCGGAGATCATGAGAGGTACAACGCTGCCACAGCTTTACTGTCAAAAGGATTAGAGGAGGGGCCTGCTATGCCTGCAGAAGCTTACAATTTCTATGGCCATGGACATGGTGGTGAGGAGATCCAGACATCGGGGACCAACAGTAAGTCTCATCAGGTGAGCCAGACACTCTTGGCGTCGTCCTCTCCTAGGTCCTGCATCACCACAACCCTCGGCAGCAACATGTTGGACTTGTCAAACACCACCGTGCCGGTACCGGAGCTGAAGAATCATCACTCCGATAACTCTTCTGAGGTGAGCAATAAAACCTTATAAGAAGTTAACAACACCGTGCTGGCACCGGATCATGAAAAATTCTCTCCAGTTTGCTGCATATAGATGTTCTTCCTTTCTGAAACTCATGTTCCAAAATTTTCATAATTTTTGGATCTTGCATTATGTTGTTGTTGGCTTCAAGATCTCACGGAAGCGGTGTAATAAAGTTCCACTTTCAAGTTGCATAATGTTCCATGGATGGGAAATTAACTGACTTCATGATTAATTGTTATTGCTTTCATGCTTCTTCATTTAATCTTCTCTTTTTTTTTTGTTTCAGGGTAACAGCGCTGCAAGTGGTTCGGCTCCAAAGAAGGCTAGGGTTCAGACCTCTTCTTCAGCACAGTCTACCCTAAAGGTTTCTTCATCTCCCATTTGTTCTTGCAATCTTGGAAAAACCTGGTTCTGATCGATCGAGGCTTCTCTCGGTGATCACCACTGGAGACATATAAATAGCCATGCACGCATTGCACCACACCCACAATATATAAGGCATGCCTTTACGCATTTCTCTAGTTTCAGATGCATATTGTGTTGATTGAAATAGATTCTATTCAGTATAATATATATACATACAAATTAATATTGACTTACCAATACCATTGTCCATCATTGTGTGTTTTCAGCTATAAACAGTTATACACACAACATGTAGAAGTAATAATGAGAAGTAGCCCTTGTTTGTTTCATCAGGTAAGAAAGGAGAGGCTTGGGGATAGAATCACAGCACTTCACCAGATAGTATCCCCATTTGGCAAGGTACACACAGCTAGCTCTGCTTAACTAGCTATACAGCAATAGTACAAAGGTATATATCACTGCATGCATGTTGATAGGGAAAAGAATTCATGCAACTAAACAGTAGATCGAAGAGCTCTGTTATTTACCTCCTCATATCAGATGATGTGCATGTGCATGTATATATTCTCTAGCAGATGGACTATGCATGCATGATCCTATTGTCACTGCTGTCATACATGCATGCAAATGTGCTTTTGCCCATGCATTCTGCCATTGATTCATTTCTCCCTCTAGCTCGGCCCCCTTTCTCTCGTTTTCTTTTCAGGAGACTTTTTCAGCTGCAGTTTCTTTCGCTTTAGGAGTCCTAGTGATGATGATCACTGAAAACAAAGCAAGTCCCTGACAACATACGTATTGGTTTTTGCAGACTGACACTGCCTCCGTCCTACAGGAGACTATTGGCTATATCAGATTCCTCCTGAGTCAAATCGAGGTCCAATTCTAACCCTTTTCATTAATTCGATCTATTTATATTTCTCTTCATCAATCTCGATCTCCTTTCAGAATCCAAATATATGCATATATTATTCAGTTCTTAAAATGCAGTCACCTGCAGCTATATATATGTAGATGTTCAGTGCTGGAAGCCTTTCAAATTTCTGCAGTAGCCAGTTGCTAGCACTTGTCAGATCTTAAAGTGGCAGATGATAACGAATCAAATCATTCGTGATTTAAGGAAACTAGTTCATGGTAAACTTAACAAGAATTTACAGAATATCAGCTCTTTTGTTTATCAGTATGAGCTAGTAGCTAGCATAACTTAAGCACGTTTTCATGCATGCAATTAGACAAGTAGCTACATGGAGTGCTAATTATTCCGAGTGCTAATTATTCCACCCGTTCTAAAATTTAAGTTTTTTTTTTACCTTTTTAGGTAGATATAGTTTTTATTACGTATCTAGCTGACATAACTTAACGTATGCTAGTAAGAAAAACCAAAATAGTTAATTTATAATTTGAAATGAAGATAGTATAAAACAATATGAGCAGAATGAGGACTGTTTGAGCAAGGTAGTGGCCATTAGGCATTGGCCAATTCATGGGGGTCAGTGCATGTATCCTACAGTAAAATGGTGTGGGGGCAGGAAAATTGACGTGCACCTGTATAACTAACTATATATTACAGTGATGACTGAGACGATGGATGTGAGTAGGTAGGTGAAACAAAAAGATGACGTACGCGTGTAGGACCAAGTGTAAGAGCACGCCGTTAAAGCGCGCGCATGCATGCATGGCTGCTTGCATCTTGCATGTCGTCCTAAGTAGGGCATCGTGCTGTCTTGTTCTGCTGTTCTGTGGTAATGTCGTCCTGTGTTTCAGTTCATTCAGGCACTATGCATGCTCTCTGTTAACCTGCTGTTCACTTCAGCTCTTCTCTCTCTGCTGTTTGTCGCTATACATCTACTGTCGATCTGATGCTAATGGCAAGCGCTTAATTACCAGGTTGTTATATGTCACATGATGCCAATTAACACGTATACATTTTATATCACGCATGCAGGCTCTCAGCTTCCCTTACCTGCTGGGCCATGGCAACGGGGGGAACTCCATGCAACAACACAATGTAAGTTAAGTGTGAGCGATAAGAGTCTCTCATGTACTGTGCTGTGTTGCAGGTACATGTGTGTGTGCACTTTGCACGAGCGAGCTAGCTTTAGGGTCGAGATGCACAGGCACGTGCAAATAAAGGTGCCCTGAAAATGAGAATTTTGACACGTACACTTTATCTGGTCGACTTTAGCTTCCGTCAGATGATATATAGGCCGATTAGCAAAGGTAGCTTTAGCAAAGCGGCCGGACACTGTCCATATCAGATGAGGAGGGAGGGTTTTGAAGCTTTTTAGAGTCCCTTTGTAGGATCTAAGCTACCATTTGTCTGTTTTACCCCTCTGAAAGGAATCAGGGCGTTTGTTATGAAATGGAACTTCCATCTTACTCCAAAATATTGACTCAATTCACAATCTTATATAGACCTACCTCTAGCCAATCTGGTAGAGGTGGTAGTAGTCCACAAAACTACAGTAGGCATCAAAATCAGAAGCAGGATACAGATGAATTCATATATATATATTTCAATTTCCTGAAAAAAGAATTCAACAGTTTAGTGTATGGTATCTAATCTTGTAAATTGATATGTATATATATACTCCTTTCGTCCGAAAAATGCAATTATAGCTTACTACCTTGTCAATCTATCTCAACCTTTCACCAAATACAGAAGAAAACTATTACTATTTACGATACCAAATAATTATAATTACATTCACCATGAAATATGTTTTCTATAAATTTAGTTAAAAATAGGGAAGTTTGACTCATTCCAAATCCAGAATTGCATCTTTTCAGGATTGATAGATGATGTCAAACCTGCAAGGTGAATTGATTACAAGGGACCCATGCACTTCTCTGAAATTAATGTACACACTGATCACTAGGTCAGTGTGCAGAAAGTTGCTATAGTAATTGTAGATCCCGGTGAGCATGCATATGTATGATGATATGATGCAAGCTTTCCCGGTCCTTGCTAGTATATAGCTACCTGACTGATCATCATAGACGAACTTACTTGTCACTGATAACCACCATGGCACTTGACACGTAATATAACTAACTGCAGTGCAGAGTGACAATGAGCATTTTGAGCACTGCATGCTGCAGAGCGCGTGTGACTGAATGATAGTATGTTGCACGTCCACCGGCCAGCTGATCGTTTTCAGCTCACCTTTTTGCACGCCTGTACGTGCAAATGCAAGCTGACAGATTCATGTCGCTCGCTTCGCTTGCTGTAGCCGTAAGCTGCACTCCTCTCCTCTCACTGCGTCGTGGGACCCCCGGCCCAGGAGTATATATATATATGTGTGTGCGTGCACTCCTCACATGCGCATGAATTTCATTATGATTACTCATTATTATACTACTTATTAGCTTCTTGATATATAATATGATCTCGATCTCATGCATTATACATATTTTTTGTTTCGGGCCCTTCTTACTTTTGCTGAGAATATAAATATTATGTATGAATGGGATATATAGTAATATGGTAATTAACTTTTCTTTAATTTTATATCTGCTGATGTGCATGCAGTTGCTGCTAAACCATAGCACTAGCAATGGCATGGTAGAAGTTGAAGGCTCGACCAAGCATCAGGTAAATGCTCCATCCGATCACAAATAATAGTTGATGTTTTGGGTTATTATACGTCCATCTTTCTAAATTTTGCAGTTACTGATTATTTTTAAAATATTCAGTATGGATATTTGGAAAAGATGCGAGATAGTTTTTTTTGTTTTGTAAAGTGTACCTTTATTACTATATATGTATGTTTTACTAATGCGTTGCAACAAAAGGGTATTATTAGTCAAAGCTGTGCTTTAAATTTGGAGACCATTTTCATGTATAGAATGTAACTTATTATATACGTGACCGTAATAAAGAGTACATAAATTACCTAGGTATAAGTTAGCTTCGATTAATCGAATATAAAGCTAGCTTATCTCAACATATAGTGCACATAGTACTCTCTCTCTCTCTCTGTTTAAAATAAAATTAAACGGCATATTTTGCCTTGTACATAGACAAGAGAAATCATTTAATTTGAATAACAATAATACAGAACCCTAATTCCCTATAGTCACTTAACCTATACTTCCTTAGGCCTAGTGAACAATACAAATTGACCTACTATATGTACAATGAAATAAGAGTATATTTGGAACAAGACAAAGTAAAGGGCTATTTGGATTGAAGCCTCCCAACATACAACTATCGAGTCAGGCAAGCATCTCAACCTAGGTATCCAGGAATGCACCATGCACCAGGCAGGGCTGCTGGGGGGCAAATCAAACAAGACATAACTATCTGATTGGCTTAACCAAGGAAACAACACTATACTACTGCTTCCATTGCATAAGTATATGATATATGTAATAGCTTGCAGTCTTGATTCACTATACATATATAAAACTCGTCACCGCCGGTTCCAAACAGGCCATCATTGCTGGGTTTTTTTTGGCCTTGGTGGTGAAAGTGGGCGGTGATGACGATTACCACCGGTTGCAAAAACGAGGATCACTATCGGCTCGTTATATGAACCGACAGTGATAATCAGAAAAAACAAAACAAAAAAACAGCTAGCAGTAGCCGCTGCCCCGTCGTCACTGTCTTCGTCTCCTCGTCTAGCATGCCACCTCCTTATGGTACAATCCACTGCCACGCCCTAAGATAGGTCTGAGAGAGAGGGAGAGAGAGATTGAGGAGATCCAATGAGGAGATATGAGAAGGAGACAGATGACAGCATTTAGGGTGGGGCAGGCGCCGCCGTTGCACCGGGGTGCCAGGACGCTTCGCAGGGTGGGGCCACACCGATCTTGCCCCGTTGGGCTTGGGCTTGCCGTGTTAGGGCCACGCCAGTGCTGCCCCATGCACCTCGGGGTGGGGCCACACCGGGCCAGTGGTGCAGTGCCGCACCATGCATCCCGGGGTGGGGCCGCGCTTGCCGCGCCTTGTCACTTGCACCACGTGCGGACCTCCATGCCCATGGGCCACCACTGCCATGAGTCATGAGGAGGAAGAGAGCGAGAGCGAGAGCGAGAGCGAGAGCGAGATGGGGGTAGGGAGAGGGAGGGAAAGAGATATTTCATTGCTTCATTCATGGGAGAGATAAGGAGAGCGATGGATCCTTGTGCTGTCAAGCCGGCCATCACAGGGTGACATGCACACACACGGCCTCACCTGTCAGCCACCCAAAGAAAACACACGTACAATTGGTGATTTTCACTGCCACTCACAAAGGTGCCTTTCACAACCGGTTTATAATATGAACCGTTTGTGAAAATCATCACCAACAACTTTGTTCAAACAAACGGTGAAAATACTGTTGGTGACGATTATTTTTGTCATAGTGACATAGTAAGTTCATTAGGTTAAGCTTATGAGAAAAAAACGCATGCATCGTCGTCATCGATTTTAATTTGTTTTGCATATACACACGCATGTATAGTCTTTTGGATCTAGCGCATGCCTGCATCATCGATTTTAATTTGTTTTTGCATGCACAAATATATAAATATGCAGGAGGAGGAGGTGAATGGCGTGGAGGGGGGCCACAGGAAGGATCTACGGAGCAGAGGGCTGTGCCTGGTGCCGGTGTCGTGCACGTCGCACCTCGCCGACGACAACGGCGCCTCCGACTTCTGGGCCGTGGCCGCGGCGCCGCCGCCTCCTCCTCCGCCGCTCGCCGGCATCATCTGGCGATAGGATCCGGATCGTCGGATCGATTCATGACGCCATATCGCCGTCTCAGCTGGATGCACGCGTACGTACGTGTGGGTTATTCTCCACGCCACGTCGATTGATCGATCCATCAAGCTAAGTTGCATGCATGCATGCCGTAAATATATACATAATACCATGCACACCACCATTATACTGTTTCTTGCTTTGCTTGCAAGGGTTGCTAGTAGCTATAGCTTGTTTGACTGTTGAGGTATTCATCATTCATGTATGGTAGCTCTAGCTGCTACCTGCAGCGCCTACTACCAGGCTGTATACGTATACCAATGTACACCGTAGTAATACCGTATATGTATGTTGAGATGGAGCGATGCACATATCATCAGGAGCCGTCATTCTGTCGGAGCTGCCCGCAGTGTCTAAGCAGCAGCTAGGCTGATTGCTCTTGATGGTATGATGCGTCGTGTATGTATCCAACACTGCTACTACTATATATATACCTCTTTTTTTGTAATTGTTTGATGAGTACATACATGCATATATGCACGTATATATATATTAGTTTGTATATATGCATGCCGGCTACTAGCTGCTACTGCTGCCCCTGCTGTGTCACGACTTCTTCCAAAAATAAAAATAAAAACATCATGTCACAACGCTTGTGCTCGGCACACCGTCCAGGAAAGCCCTGGAAGGCTGGAACTGTGGACTGCCCGCGAAGCAGGACCAGAGAACGCTGCGCAAAAAAGAGTTCTTCAGATTCCCTAAAAAAACTGGTAATGCTGCTCTGGTCAGGGCGTCCGATCGTCCGGACGGCCGCGTTCGTAGGCCACGGCATCAGCCCAATGGCCCAACAGTTCACTCACACCTCTAACCGTATCCTCCTGTCTCCGTTCTCTAGAAGGCTCTTTACCGTGACCGCACTCCACGGCGCCGCAATCGTGGGGATCCTGTGCTGGCCGTCGGCCTCGCCAGCGCCGCCTCCCCGAGGCCAGCCACCGCCCAATCGCGCTCCCTGGCTTGTCCGCAGCTGCCCCTTGCCTGGTCCGCTCCAAGGCTGTGGTGTCCCCTGTCCGGTCTACTGATGAAGCGAAGCTCCATCGCCAGGCTCGAAGAAACAGAGGGCGGCTCCACTCCATAGTTCGCCCCATCGCGCCCCCTTGGCTGGTCCGTAGCTGCCCCCTGCCCAGTCCGCTCCAAGGCTGCTGTGTCCCTTGGCTAGTCTATCGACAACGCAAATCTCCGTATCGTTGGGCTCGAAGAAATGGAGGGCAGCCAAACTTCGGCCGCTACGCTCGACGGCTTTCGCACCCCCTGGCCAGTCGCTTCGCGCCACCGGTGAGCTCTACACCGATGAACATCACAAGCCGACGAGCCTCCATTTCTCCCAAGCAGCAAAGATATGTTGCGCTGAAAGTGCATGTTGCAAGTGTACATTTTAAATGTTTCAGATGTTTCAGAGGTATGTTCCAAGTGTTTTTATACGGATGTTGCAAAAGTAGATCGGGATGTGTTGCATATGTTGCAATGGTTTGTACACGTATGTTGCAAGCGTTTGTTCTCAATGTTTCATTTATCTTTCAGACGTATGTTGCAAGTGTGTTTATCTAGATGTTGCATATGTTTCGCGCATGTGTTGCAAGTGTTTTATCTGGATGTTGCGTATGTTGCAATGGTTTTCAAGTGTTTTTTAGGTATTTTTTTCAAGTGTTTCAGGTGCATATTTCAAGTGTTTCATCTGTCTTCTTTTGTATGCTGCAAATGTTGCAACTGGAATGTTTCAAAAGTAGATCTGGTGTTGCACATATTGCTATGTCTATACACGCATGTTTCAAGTGTTCCATTTGAATATTTCAAAAGTAGATCTCGGGGAAGCACATGCTGCTGCTAGTGCGCCGCCGTGGTTCACCCTGCATGCCTGCTGGTGGCGGTGCTGTTGCGTGCATGCAGGCGCGTGAAACGGAGCGGGCTTGGGGTGGTCCGTGCATGCATGGGCCCGTGTGGCCTCTGGGGTGGGATGGGTGCGGGGCGAGGGAGCTGGGTGCGTTAGCGTGGGCTTGAGAGCACCGTCCGACGCTAGCGCCCCGGATCGGACGTCCGGGCGCTAGCAAGTCCGAAAAAAAGAGTTGTTCAGAATGAGTAGAAGTAACATCCATGGATTGAATTGGTGATCCAGCAGAAAAGGATTTCAAGAGGTCTTGAACTGCATGAAGCACTTCTGAAGAACACTTGTGGTCTTTACTCCACTTCGCCTAGCACAGGCCCATCGCACGATGGTAGGCCTTAAGAGCTGCCAGCTTGGACTCTGTAGCTGAGCCACCAGAAGAAGACTTTGAATCAACAGAAGGACCCAGGGACTTATCCACCTCAGGCGGCAACGGCAATGGCGGCACAACTGACTTTACTGAAGGCTTGTAAGACAAGACCGAAGGAGAGCTACTTGCCACGTCCCGAGAACCCCCTGCCAGAGTACAAGTATCATTCAAATTCTTGGGTCGTTGAACAAGAAGAGTAGAACGGATTTCAACTCAGAAATAATTCAAACCGAGTAGTGAAATACACAAGACCAACCCACGCTGCATTAGCAGAAAGTTGACCCACCAGTTCAGTGAAACAAGTAACATAATCAAGGACGATGGTAGTCTTTTTCATGTGAAAAAGCTGGCGGATCAGCAGTTGTGTTGATCGCGATCTGATCGATCACTGAACAGCAGCAAAACTGATCCCAGGAAGTATGTGTAAGCACGAGGCTAACGGTCTAGCCTCTCGATTTTTCTGAGCCAGGCTGCGGGCCAGGCAAAGAAAGCTCATTTAGCATCATATTATTATATAGGTTTCTAACTATGCACGAGACACTATATGTTAAGCACAAGGGTTTATTTGGTAGAGCACATCCAAAATAGTTCTAGTTTATGGCTTCTATGATGAACTAGCTTTTGCTCTGACCCTGCTAGTTTCACTGATTAGAAAAATATTTGGCAAAATAGTTTCTAAAATGCATGAAATGTCTATAACACCATTATAACTTTTGTATTTATTTATTTATTTATTTATTTGTTAATAGTTTCTTTTTTATGTTTTTTCTCGCCCCGTTTTCTCGTCCTATTGGCTTTGCGCCTAACCTCACCCTCATAGTTGGCCATGCAGCCCGAGCCCGTCGGCCCAGCCCAAGGCCTTTTTTGTCCCGGCCCAAGCACGGCCCGGCCCGGAGGCTAGCGGGCCTGGGCTGACATGGCCCGGAGGAGAAGGCTGTGCCTGGGCCTTACCCCAGGCACGTGGGCTAGCACGGCACGGCCTGCTACAGAGCCGGCGGCCCGCTGGTGGCCCGGCCTGCCTCCTCTCTGCGCCCCGCATTGACCTGCCGCCTCCCCGGCTCGCCGCGCCCCCCCCCGCTCGCACTCGCACCCACCCCCGATTCCTCGAACCCTAACTCCCTTCCCGGCTTCCCCTCCCCTCCGCCGCGCCCGCCCAGCCCTTCCCACGACGCTCCCCTCCTCCTCGGTGGCGCCAGATCCTCCTCCTCCGTGGCTGCCCTCCACCACCACCTCCCGGGTGGCTGCCCCTGCCTCCACCCGGATCCGCCTCGAGGACGGAGTGCACGCGACGGCCGCCGCCTCCCCACCCTCCCTCTCCCTCATCCTCGAGGCGGCGCCCTCCCTCCCTCCCCCCATCCTCCATCCCTCCCTCCCGCATGGCCCCCTCCTCTCTCTCTCCCTCCTCACCTCGGTGCAGTGGCGGCGCTCTCTCTCCCCTCCCTCCCCATCCTCCATCCCTCCCTCCTCCCGTGTGGATCCCCTCTCCCTCCTCCCTCCCTCCCTCAGGTGGCCTCCCTCTCTCCCTCATCCGGTGGCGGTGGTCTCCCTCTCTCCCTCTCATCTCCTCTCCCTCGTTGCTCCCACAGTTCATCTTCATTTAATTCCTCATCATATTTTTATATCTTAGAAAATCATATTTTTTGCGGAATTAAATGAAGATAGCTTTTATATGAAAATTATAGATCTCGACGAGATCTACAACTTTCTAGTTTTGAGTTTTTTTATTTGAAGTCGTTAAGATGCTCAAAAAATATTAATGACATATTTAGACTTAAGGACAATTTTGTCTTTTCACACCTGCACTTTGACAGTGTTAGAGCCTAAACTGACGGCAGTGTCATGAATGGCACAAAATGTTGGAGCAGTGGCACTGAAGACCGCTGAACTTTTCCAGGGACACACAGGACATTGCGATCTTTTTTAATGGCACATAAAGAATTCCCCTTTATTTTTTAGTCTATATTTAATACTTTATACATGTGTCAAATATTCGATGTGATAGGATATAAAGTTTTAGCAAAGGAACTAAACAAGGCTTAGGTGAAAGCATTGCTCGTCTTTCCGTTTGGTTGGTGGAGTCGAGGAGCCGAGCGTGGAGCAGCTCACAGAGCGCTACCAAATACAAAATGAACTACAATTTAAAACCGAGGCATTATCATTTATAGTAACTACCAGGATTTTTATATACACCACGACTTGCACGATGGCATTACATTTATAGTAACTAGCCGTATAGGAGACAAAAGCTGATGTTGGCATTCACGTGGCACACTTTCATTATTGCTTACTGTGCTTAAAGTCAATAATGCATGATGTTGCAGTTACTGATCGATCTGGATTAAAAAACATAGGTCGTGTTTGGTGTAATTAGGTTCATCCAAAGAGTCATCACGTTACAAGTACTATGTGATACAATATGTATACCAAAATCTGTTCTTTAGACACTAAAAAAAATGTTCTTTACTTATATTGTATCCACGCTTTGTATAGCTCCAAATCTCAATCCCATACCTATATAACGATTTATATGGATAACCGCACAAATAAACACTCGACAAAAGGCCTGGGAACATATACCCAACAAACGACGGCCAACATACCTGCTGGCGGAGTTGAGAAACTTCTTCTTTCTTGTGTCCTCCTTCTTCTTTCTGCCACCGAAGAATAAGAAAAATTGATCTGAATCTTCCCATCTCAATACCATTAATT